ACGATTGAATGAATGAATGAACGATTGAATGAATGAATGAACGATTGAATGAATGAATGAATGAACGAATGAACGATTAAATGAATGAATGAATGAACGATTGAATGAATGAATGAATGAATGAACGATTGAATGATGAACGAATGAATGAATCAATTAATGAACGAATGAATGAATGAGCGAACGAAGGAAGTAACGAATGAATGAATGCGCTCGCCACCCACCGTGACGTCCTTCTCGTAGACGATGGGCACGCGGCGGCACGCCTCGCGGTGGTAGATGTGCAGCGTGGCGCCGGGCTTCACGGCCGGCGGCGGGAAGCGCGCGCCGTCGCTGCCGTCCACGCGGTTGCACTCCTTCGTGCTGTAGAAGTCCATCAACTCCAGCCCGTTGAAGCGCGTGATCTCGCCCAGCCGGCTCACGTCCTCCACGCCCGTGAACACCGTCATCGTGTCTGGGCTGGTGCCGTTCGCCTGCAACACGCCACAAGAGTTCATCGCGGAGGTCGTTTTCAAAAATTCGTGTGTTACGCGATAAAGACAAAAAATTGTTATTGAAACGGAAACAAGTCACAAAGTGAAGGAACATGCAATACCACACGTATCGGCCGGCATTCCTAAAATATTAAATAGTAATTTCTTAAAAACAATTTAAATAAATAGGATGGAGAGAGAGAGAGAGAGAGAGAGAGAGAGAGAGAGAGAGAGAGAGAGAGAGAGAGAGAGAGAGTGAGACAGAGAAAATGAGTACTTTAAATTCATAAAATGACATTTTTTGTTTGTATGATTTTTCTTATAAGATGGTATTTTTATGACAAGTATTGAATGCCACGCGACTAATAACAATCAAAGGTCTTCGATGCAATCTTCGGCTATCGCGTTGGTTAACAAACTTCAACCTCATCTGTTATTTGCTGTTTATCAGACTAATTACGTTAATAACTATTATAGAATGTGCAGGCGTGATCTGGATACAAGTCGAAAAAGTCCAAATTATAGAAAAATAACATCAATTTAGTTTCATTCAGAAAATAACAAGATATTCCCAAATATATGATTTGATTGGTCGAAATAAGTCACGAGCGAGTGCTGCAATAGGGAGGGTGATATTACAAATCAACAAAAAAAATATTTGCGATCTAATGTTTTAGAACGTTTTCAGAAACAAAAAGATCGCCTTTGAATGAAAAAAATCAGAAAAACTCTTTTTAGGCAGCCACTAGTAAAAGCGATTCATTTAGAGTAAGCACAGTGTGTTAATAGTTCAATTTTTAACACTAGGACTAAAAGTGAGCCGATAGTCAATTGTTTTACATACATTTGTGAATGCAACAAAGAAAACAAAATAATTTCGTCTGACCGTACCGGTTATTACTGATCTTAATGTATCATTAACTGATTTGAATACATGATGACTAAAATGAATGTAAGTAAGGCTGTCTCAAAAAAGAGTCTATCACATAAGTTGCAAAAGTTATTTTAAGTTATTGATACACTCAGCCTATCGGTCTCGTGTCGCAACCTTTCCAACTCGCAAAATAAAATGTCACTTGGACCATTCGTATCATAAACAACTATTTTCTTCGTTTTAGCCCAATCATACCACATCGTTGAGAAAAAACGTCTGTTTATCATCAAAGCCATTGCCAGTTAATAGAGGACTCCTTACCGACTGGATGATGCCGGCCTTGATCTTGCCCTGCTTAAGCTCCACGAAGGCCTTGACGGCGTCGCTGTAGCCCCAGAACCACTCGTGGGCGGTGCGCGTGACTATGGCCTTGGGACTCATGAGGTTCACGAACGACCACAGAGGCAGCCGTTCCAGGTAGCTGTAGCGCCTCGCCACGTAGTTCATGCCCTGCACACACAAAAAAAAAAGAAGTTAAATCCATCGTGGAGGCAGTGTAAGTGGCCAATTTATTCAGTTATTCATATATTTTATTATTATTGCCGGGTCAATCTTATAGAATACGCAAAATCCATGGATGAGGCACCGAATCAAAAGCATTTTTATAGTCTACCCACCCCACAGATATATCTTGAAGTCTTTTACGGACTTGTTTTGTAACTACACCATCTATAACCAATAGTTCTTTGCATCCTCTGGTTCTGTTTTTACAACCATTTTGCTCAGGAGGTGAAATATTTTGGTCTACGAGAGGTTCATTAAGTTTAGAAGATACAGCAGTCAACATTTTGTATAACGTTGACTAGCATGTAATTGGCCGGTTGTTCTTGGGTTGGAGACTGTCTCCTGATTTTGCCATCATAAATGTCTTACTCATCAACAGAGGTTGAATGGATATTTCATAAGTCATATATCGTTAAAAAGTCTAGCTATGTGTGGATGGAGAGCCGTAAAGCATTTCCACCAAACATTATGATATCCATCTAGGCCAGGAGCTTTCCAGTTTTGTCTTCTTATAACTGTTGTTGTTATTATTATTATTATTATTATTATTATTATTATTATTATTATTATTATTATTATTCGCATATGGGCCACTACTGATCACGCAACACATTTCTCTCTCCGAAGCCCAGTTGTATTCTATCCTGGAGATATCAATGTGTGGAATTATGGGGATCATGCGTTCTACTGCATCCCTTCGTTAAGACAAGCTTGTTAGCCTAGAATATAAATTAGGGGGATATGCTGATATTATTATTACTATCGTTATTATTATTATTATTATTATTATTATTATTATTAATAATAATAATATTGTTGTTGTTGTTGTTGTTGTTGTTGTTGTTGTAGGGTGATGACGCGGGATGAAAGGATTAGGATGATGGTAGCAGTGTTGGTGGGGTAGTGGGAGGTGTTCGTGTGCTTTTTGAACCATGCCAGCATTCGCCCTGTGACCGAGGGAAACCACGAAAACCCCGATGAGGATGGCCGGCCCGGGGATCAAACACGGACCTCCGATTGCGAATTCAGCGCGCTATGCACTGAGCCATTTCGCTCGATTTATTCATTTTTTTATATTAATTTATATGCAAGTAATATATACATTTCAAACTGTAATGCCAATATATTATTTGTAAAACGATTTTTGAAACTTAATATATGTGGTTTTAGTGCAGTTTTCAAGACATTCTTACAGAAAATGAGAATTAGAGAACCCATTGTTTGATTTACGACTTTTAGACTAATCTCGTAGCCCCTGTTTGTTTCGGATAGTAAAGTAATCACAAATTCATCATGTACAGGGAATTCTGATCTACTAATGAGGATAAAACATTTTATTTTTGTCTTGAATGAAGTTTATATTGAATTGTTTAAATTACGATACTCTTTACCTCTCGAATTTTCAGTCCGCCTGAACCCAGTTCTGTCAATGTTTGTGTTGCATTTTCGTTGTTACGGAACCGCAATCACGTATCGAAAACGATATTTATGGCTGTATGTCATATTTGAAGGTTTCCGGTCTGAAGAGAAGATAAGTCGACATGCTGTCAGTGCGTGGTCTGCATATCGTTCTGTGATTTTAAATGCGTGGTTGAATTTCATTTTTTTTTTCAGATAACGGTAAAACCTGTTTTATAGAGAGAAACATTACTTTTATCCCAGGTTGTCCCAAACGATTATCGCTAAAGACAACATTCTGACAGATATAGCAAAAGAATATATCTATCCAAATGAACTGTGAGTCCTCGTCAGAATATGTGCTTCGTTCCTAGTTAATGCACTACGCCTATAGAACATCATGGGCATATTGAGGGGTATACGATGCCAATTTTCTTCCTTGATATGTTGTCCTTGATTAGAGCAACGTAACTATGCTTGTAAATATGCTATCAGTCCGATTTTCATTCTGCATTCTCGAAAATCGCAAATTCAATGAGGTATTCCGCATTGTTAATGTTTTTTGTGCCCAAAACAATATTAAATGTCCACTATAATACAACTAAAATTTTAAATATTATTGCCATGAAATTCATATGAACAAAAAGCATCAAATTTCAGCAAGGAACATAAAAAATTATTTCATTGTCGTGAAATATTTCTTACTTACAATAAATAATAAGTGAAGGCTTGATATGTTGTCTGACATTTTTCCATTAGATAATTCAGGAAGGAATTGATACGCCCTTTCTTCATTATACGACACTGTTCCATTAGGGTGGAATACGTCGTTGACTCGATGCGTTATCTCCCTGTACAAAACATGTAAAAACAGAATCAATATTATTTGAGAAATGATGAAAAAATGTTAACATATATAATAAAATTAAATACCTATTCCTTCTTAAAAACATGGTAATTTTTTTTTTATCTTGAGACAAATTATCTTGAAAACTAACAATCGTATCAAGAAATGCTTCGAATAAAATTTGTTTCTCTCTGCGGGGCCTATTCGATGATACCAATCTCGACCTGCCACATTTACTCCCTGAGGGTGGGAATAGGGCAACTTGCAAATTTCAAATAGGAACCCCATATATTTTATAGCGGATTCGGATTCTCCGCAAAAAAATACGTAGATTTTTTGTTTTCCAGTAGATGGGCGCTGTTATCGTAGAAAACAGAACTTTTCGCAATTCTGGTGAAACCCTTCCTACAAAATTGTTTAACAACATTAAAAGATATATATTTTTTAACTTCAAAACTGTGAGAATGAACCTTGTCTAAGTTTGACGTAAATGGTCACGTCTGGCAAGTAAACATTTAAAAGAAGTCGTTTCTCTTGCTGCAAACACAGTGTTACAATTCAAGATGGAACCAAGCAGTTCAATGCGTTATATATAGGAATCACCACCAATTACTAGACTAAGGACCATAGACTAAGAAAGTATAGTACTATGATAAATAAAGGATGTTGTCTGGTATCAATAATTTTATTTTATTAAGCTTATGATCGTTTCGATCGCATTGCGATCATTCTCAGAGCTTGCAGCTTCCGGGCCGAAAACAAAGTTCTGCCAGAAACTAATATTATTGATACCAGACAACATCCTTTATTTATCATAATAATAGAAGGTATCTACCTCACCAGCGATCTAATTATAGTACTAAGTACAGTACTATATAGTCTAAAGTATGTACTGTATAGTCTAAAATATAGTACATTGCTCTATTCTAGCACTGCTTGTGCCTGCAGGTCACCAGCGGCCCAAACTAACGCGCGTTTCCCGTGTTGCCATGACAACGTCCCTCAACCAGTAAGAAAAGAGTAGCTTCGTTTCATCCATTTTTAGAGTCGGTTTGGCACGGAGGCTGTCGCGCATCTAGCCTCCTCCTTTGAAGGCGTGTTGCGGTCATAGACAGTGGGGGCTCTGTTGTTGTGTGGCAGGCCCAGTATTTCAGTGGACACAAAATAAAATCTTTATTGGAAGAGCCGTTTTCGCGGAGGAGTAATCCTAGAGAAAAGTCCAAGAAGAGAAATACTAAATTTTGTTATTTTATTTGGAGTGACACCAATAACAGTTTTCTAGTAAACCAAAGGTCATTGACTTTCAATTTCACAATATGTTTCTGTGCCTGAATTTGCCTGGATCTCCCCTTGTTTTGAAGCCCGTCCGCCACTGCCCGTTCTATGACATTCTTAAACGTTTGAAATAAAAACAAATGGTCAAGTTGACCATGAGCAAACTTAATTCTCAGATATCAAGTCAATGCTTTGCATGTGATTAACAATGTGACAAAAATACATTATAACAAAGAGGGAAAACTAGAAGTGCTACGAAATGACATAGACTGTCTCGTATAAGTAAGTCCCCTTTTATAGTTGGATCTACTTTTTCAGGCCCTACGCCTTCCAGGCTGTCATATATCGGCGCCTAAGGAACGTATTGGGCCTTCACTTATTGGTAATTACCGCTCCCCAGATCACTCGCGGCCGATTGCAGATCGTCGAACCTATACCCGCCAGCCGGTCGACGGAATTGCAATGCACTCGCTGTTAACAAATGAAATGAAGCTAATGGACTCCCGATTGTACAACACCACTGGATTTTTGAAAAAGAACATTATATTGCAATGATATACAGGTCCTGACGAAGTCGAAAAAAACATTTTCTGTGGGAATCTGTGCTTCTGAGATCAAAAATGTAAGGTATTATTTATTGCTAATGTTATGAGGAACACGCTGGAGTGCCTTTTTAATAATTTAATTAAAAAAAGTAAAACCTCTTGCCTATGAAAGACTTGCGCTAAACTTTTTGTGTTCTATAATTAACTCATTAACGTATTTGTTACACAAATATTATTTCTATGAATACATTGCAAAACTTCCGCTTGCTAGCTGCTCTTATCTCTCAATGGTCTGATTTCGTATCGTTTTATAAGCGGTAGGTCACAATAGACACAATAGAAACATTTCTGACATTTCTCACCATTCTAAGAGCATTGTGTATTATTTTGCCGTACATATGTAAATGTAGGTAATGTATGTAAATGTACATATGTAAAAAATTGCGACACGTGCACTGCTGTATTAAAAATCCTTTTCACGTTATGAAACCAGTGTTCCGCACCAAATGTAACCTGCGTAAAAGCATGACATAGTAATACAGTTGTGAATGATATTTTCATTCAGCAGTTGTATATCAAATGCGTCTGGCCACACTTGTCAAGCAAATGTATGCTTAGTTGACCCTTCTATCTCCGCCAAGAAGACGTTGAGCAATAGGAGCGCGATAATATGAATACCCTATTCCTGCTTTAAGAATAAACTAGTGGTGTTAAAACAACACTGTGTTCTCGGACGTACTTTCACGCAAAATTGCGCGAAAAATACTCAAATTTTCGAAACATTGTACCTGATTGTATTTCAAAACGTTTTTTTGAGGAATAGATTTCATTGAGCAAAAAATCTGTATATTCATAATTGTAGTTGTGGGAAGACGCCG